TTGGGGGGGGGGGGGGGTCGAAGAGCTCGCCATTGAGTTCATGTCAGAAATAGTCCCTGTTCCCTTTATTAGAGAACCCATTTGGACACTGAGCTACCATGGGCTATATCCGAGCAGGGGTTTTAGATTATATCCATACATGGTCCTTGTTTGGAGAAACAGTCTTATGAGAAAGACCCCTGTGCCCAGACATATTTGGTCCTTGTGGCACTCCTGTACTCTCCAGGTCTTACTAAGTCTGACACAAGCTTGTCAGGAATACTTACCAAACTATGTTGCTCAAATTTATACTCAATGAAACAATTTCTATTGAAAAAAAAATTTTATTGATTTATATTGAAACTTTTCAAAGGTCAGGATATGTCATAAACATGGAAGAGTAAGATTTGTAAGTCAAATTAAATAACAAATGTTCCTGTGAGTTCAGAAGTGACTTCTAAGCAGCGTTGAACTCTCCAGTGCCAGAAGCAGACACATGACAGTACTTTAGCGAAGTAGACGTTGATGGATTAAAAACATTAATGTAGTTACTGGAATTGTGACTCATGTGTTGCTGATTTTGACTTTTCTAAATCAATAGTATCCCATCACCGGCCTCACATCCCTTGAATCTCCCTACCTCTCCCATGGAGGGGACAGAATCATTGTCTCCTCACTACCCTTCCTATGAAATGCCTTTTACAGGTTTTAGTGGCCTTTTAGAATTCCACCTGTGGTAAAGCTGCTCCCCCCACATCCCCTCAGGAGGAGGTGATCAAAGAGGCAGCCACTGAGTTCATGTCAGAGACAGCCCCTGTTCCCCTTACTGGGGAACCCGCATGGACACTGAGCTGCCATGGGCTACATCTGTGCAGGGGTTCTAGGTTATCTCCATGCATGGACCTTGGTTGGAGTACCAGTCTCAGAAAAGACCCCTGTGTCCAGATTTTTTTTGTTCTGTTGCTCTCCTTGTGGAGCTCCTGTCCCCTTCAGGTCTTTTTATCTCCCCCTTCTTTCTTAAGATTCCCTGCACTCTGTCCAAAGTTTGGCTATAGGTCTCAGCATCTGCTTCGATATTCTGCTGGGCAGAGTCTTTCAGAGGCCCTCTGTGGTAGGCTCCTGTCCTGTTCCCTGTTTTCTTCCTCTTCAGATGTCTATCCCGTTTGCCTTTCTGAATGAGGATTGATCATCTTACCCAGGGTCCTCCTTCTTGTTTAGCTTCTTTAGGTGTACAGATTTTAGTATGATTTTCCTATATTATATGTCTAATATCCACTTATAAGTGAGTATATACCCTGTGTGTCTTCCTGCTTCTGGGATACCTCAGATGATCTTTTCTAGTTCCCACCATTTGCCTTCGAATTTCATGATTTCCTTGTTTTAAAAAGCTGAATAGTATTCTATTGTGTAAATGTACCACAATTTCTGTATCCATCCTCAATTGAGGGACATCTGGGTTGTTTCCAGAGTCTGGCTATTACCAACAAAGTTAATAACCCATGTTATTAACATGGGTGAACAAATGTCCACAGGAAGACAATGCAGCCAGTCCTGATGAGACCTAATAAGCTAGGGTCAAATGGAAGTGAAGGAGGACCTCCCCTATCTGTGTACTGGGGGAAGGGCATGGGAGGAAAAGAGAGAGGGAGGGTGGGATTAGGAGCGAATGGAGGGGGCTACGGTTGGGATACAAACTGAATACATTGTAAATAATAAAAAATAAATAAATTAGAAAAAAAAAAAGAATGCCACCTGTAGGATGCTCCTTTAAGTGCAGCTCTGTGAAAAGCTGGTGAATTTCCTTGCTGGTGAGGTGAGTTGTGGTTGCTCAACATGCGGAGCACATTCTTGATAAAACCACCAGAGGGCACTGTGACATAGCGTTCAGCCTGACCGCCCACCCTGTGGTTGTGGCTTTGGAGTGCCTGATAGAGAATTTGAATACGCCTGCTTGAGAAGGGGTGGTTCAATAAGTGTCATTGCCAGAAGCTGTTTTACTAGTCTATCATTAAATATTTATAAAACTGCTAGCTGTGACCAACAGCAAAGGTCCTTAAGATCCATGGTACTTACTGCTCTGGATCAACTGTGCTACTTAATTTTTCTTTCTTTCTTTTAAAATTTATTTATGTATACAAATTTCTGTC